TTGGTTATTGGTAGTGTTTAGTAAAGCTTTTGAATTATGTCAATTTATCTTTTATATTATGCTACTATTAAGTAATAATATTATTTTTATTGCTGACATTTGTTACATGTTTACCATGTGCAATGTATTTAAGTGCTTTAAATAGATCATTTCATTTAGTCTTCATGACAAACCGGTGAGTTTAGTAGTATTATCATCCCCTTTCTGTAGATACGGAATCTGAGGCTTAGAAGGTAATCTCCCAAGGTTATTAATCTTATTGGTGGAGAAGCTGTAATTTAAACCAGTGTGATTAACATCAGTATTATATATATATTTATTATGGAATTTATATATATTATATAATATATATTTTATATATTTTTTTATTTTTTATTTTTTTTGAGACAGAGTACAGTATTGTGATCATGGCTCACTGCAACCTCGATCTCCTGGGCTCAGATGATCCTCCCACCTCAGCCTCCAGAGTAACTGGGACTAGAGGCACACACCACCACTCCCAGCTAATTTTTTTGCATTTTTTGTAGAGACAGGGTTTTGCCAAAATCTCTGGACTCAAGAAATTCTCCTGCCTTGGCCTCCCAAAGTGCTGGGATTACACATGTGAATGCCCAGTCTCTGTATTATATTTAATTCTCCTATCGCTTCTTGGAGTTTTTCAATTGACTTTCTTGGGTGTAGGTATTTAATCACATTGGCCACAAGTAACTTTATTTTTATATCTTTCTATACAATAATTACTGCTCTTATTTCAGCTTCATGTCTTATTGCATTGGCCGAAGATAGTGGAACAGCATTAATGAATGAAACAATGAAAGTGGACATCCTTGTTTTGTTAACGACTTAATGGAAAACTGTTATTGTTGATTTAAATTTATAAAGCGTTGTTAAGGAAGTATCCATCCATTCCTAGTTTCTGAGTTTTTAAAAAATCAGGAACAGATGTTGAATTTTATGAAATGTCATTTTGGCAGCTATTAAATTTATTATATGGACACCAATGGTTCTGATCCAGATTCATAATTGAGAAAGGAAAGTAACTATAAATGTAGTTCAATTGGTGCTTTTCTTTTTCCAGCAATATCTGGAGCTTGTTTTCAAAGTGACATGTGGGTGGTAGAGGCAAAAATTTTTTTATAAAAATTTATGGCTTTAAATTTTTCCCTGTCCAGATTTTGAGTCTGTACTGGGTAAAAGAAAAGATTGTATGTAGGGAGTATTTTTGAGGTATTTTCTTTAGAACAACTTGTAAAGGTATCATTTGGTTATAATTCCAGATTTTATTATACTTAGTTTAGATTCATGTTGACAAAATTGTAAATCAAATAGGTAAGGATTAATTCTAATTACATGTTGCACAAATCTTTATGTATTGTTGGTATTCATTATATTATTGTTATTATGATAGTTATAGCCCACAAGAACAGTATATGCATTAGAAATGTTAAAGCCTTTGATTGTTTTCATACATGACACGTTAGCTACTGGAAGAGAACTTATGTTACTCTTTTTTATGTTGCTAAAATCCAGCAGAATAATTATGATTTGATATTGACTAATACTTCATATTGAGTAGTTTTAACTAAGAATCAGTTTAGGGAACTGGTGTTTTTCATATATTTGTCACTGAACTTTTAGTCAATGAGGGTCATCAGATCTATGGAAGGGAGGGTAGACCAACCTTATCTTTTTTTAAAAAAATGAAAACAATATTTCAATTTTGTTCTTAAGTCACCAGACTAAGTCTTCATAGGTGGAAGGAATGAAATTGATTTGCGGTGTCAGTTAGCCAATGGGAAAGGGAGAGATGACAGAGCACGGGTGGAGGCAATGGTTGGGAAAATACAATGATTTTTGGTTTATTGCTCACAGAGTTGGGATTACTAAATAAACTGGTTATAAGTATATAAATAATACTATAGGTATCATGTAGCATAGTTACATTTTAATATGTAGTGAAAGCATAATGGTTAAGAGTTTGAGCTTGAAGCCAGCTTCTCTGGGATCAAGTTCCGTCTCTCCTACTTACATGCTGCACCCCATTTTCCTCATATATAAAATGGGGATACCAACAATATTTATCTCATAGGGTAGTTTCGGTCATTACATGAATACATGTGTGTAAGGTGCTTAGAACAGTGCCTGGCACATCAGTAACTGGGAGCTCCCATCCTTGTCATTATCAGCATGATGCCTTGGAAAAGGTTTGGCCTGGGGTTCAACCTGGGCAGGAGTTGCTGGGTTTTGAAGAATGAGGAGAAATTGTCCAAAGAAGAGAAAGTAAGGGTAGTCCAGAGAGAGTGAAGGGTGGGAACAATGAAGACGGAGTGCTGGGGTGGGAGAGGAAAGTATCCCCAGTGTGGGGCAGATGCGAGGTCCAGGAGTGACAGCTTAGATCGGAGGAGTCTCCGACTATGTTTAATTGTGTTACAGATCCTCCTCTGAAGAGAGGATCATGCTGGAGATACAGGCAAGTGAGGGGGTGACTGCTGAAGTTGCCAGGCCTCTCAGGATTTGGAAGGGAGAAAGGGGGCGGGGAAGAGCTCCGTGGGTGATCTTCTATGCCCATCTGCATCCACAGCTGCATCCTTAACTTAATTTCTTCTTTCCCTCCAGCATCTGACCTTTTAAATCAGGTGTGCTTCAAGCTATGCTACCTTTCTTTCTTTTTGAGGCAGGGTCTTGCTGTGTTGCCCAGGCTGGAGTGCAGTGGCACAATCACGCCTCACTGCAGCCTTGACCTCCTGGGCTCATCCTCCTGCCTCAGCCTCCTGGGTGGCTGGGATTATAGGTGCACACCACTATACCCACCTAGTTTTTTGTATTTTTTGTAGAGATGGGGTTTCACCGTGTTACCCAGGCTGATTTAATGCCATTCTCTTGAACACTGCAATCATATCATAAATTCCTCCCCCATCTAAAAAACAAAATTCCCTAGTTTTGACCATGTGTTCCATATTCACTTTATTTTTTAGAGTCTATAACAAAAAATAACCTTTATAATTCTGTTAGATGATGTAGTGAAATGACTGTGGGTTTGTGTGTGTGTGTGTGTGTGTGTGTGTGTTTGTGTGTGTGTGTGTGTGTGTGTGTGTGTGTGTGTGTGTGTTGCTGTTATTTGTTTTTTCTAAAAGTTGCTTGGTATTTCAGTTTGTATAGTCAGGAAAAGAAACGTTTTCATTTGGAGCAAGGTATATATCCAAGAATGACTACCAAATTGAAAAGGGTATCCTGAGCATTAAAGACAGTGAAGTATTTCGGCTTTACTGCCTACATAATGGATCTGAGATAAAGTTATCAAGATGCTGCCTTTCTAGTCTCTAAATATAAATCAAAATAATTAAGTTATTCTTAAATCTCAAACCAAACCCAAATGAGAAAAACAAACACTTCTGGAACATATTAAAGACAGACATTATAACTCCTAAATTCAACTTCTTATAAAACATCATCAACCACCACCAGAAAATACTGTGGTACACAATAATTTTGAAAATATTTTTTAAATTTGCCAAATTTTTCACATTTAGTTCTTAACTGTAATCTCTCAGCATAACTGGGTCATGAAAAAAATGTATTCTTTCTATATCTGCTAACATTATACCTTCTAAACTTGACCACTCCAATATTTAAAAAGCTAGAAACTGCAGAGAACTTCTGAAGAATGGCCTTTGTAACAATTCAGTGTTAATGAGTTGAAGAGTATGTCATCATCCTCTGGGTCATTATCTGCAAGAATATTGTGTATTAAACAACCACCATACCTCAGTGGCATGTAATAAGCATTTCTTTTTGCTAACAAGTCTACAGATTAACTGAACACTCCTGCTGATCTTGGCAGACTTGATTTGGCAGTATTTCGGGTCTTGGCTGGAGTTCACTCATGTATCCGGAGTGAACACTGGTAGCTGCTGGCTAGGGGCTGATCTAGGACAACCTTGGCTAGGATGACTCAGCCCAGCTCCACGTGGTCTTGGATATTTCTGAAGCCTAGTTTAGGCTTTGTGGTAGTGGCATCGTTCCTAAAGAGAGCATGGAAGCATACAAGGCCTCTAGAGACCTGGGCTCGGAACTGGTACACAGCACTTCCATCACATTCTCTAGGTCTATACAAGTCATGAGCCCAGCCCAGTTTGAAGGGATGGGGAAACACACTCTTGACAGGAGTAGCTGCAAAAGCACATTACAAAGAGCATGGATAGAAGGTGGGATAGAGAATTGGGATCACTTTTGCAATCAGTCTACCATGTTTCCTTTCATCTTTCTCTATCTGAATTGTCTCAATTTCTGTACTGGGGCTGACTGTTTCATGGGCAATCTAGCAAGCAGGGACCCTGAGTCTCAGTACCCACTAAAATGGACAATGCAGGCACTCAGTAATGTAGAACTGTCTCTCCAAGACCGAGAGGTTCTTTGGGTATTTCTGCCTGTGGCTTGTCATTTAACTTTATCTGCTTTGTTACCAAGAAAGAACAAAAATCATATCAGAACATTTATTTTTATGTAAAGAGAAAAACAAATCCATTACAGCTAAGTAGAATCCTCTGAAGTGTATAACAGGGGGGAAATTGAATGTTGCAGTTAAATTTTCTGTAGGTTCTGAATACCAGCAGATGTTTGAACCAAATATAATGTATTGTTCTGTTTTCAGCCCTATTTGTAAGAAACTGAGCTGTAAGAGTGGGCAAAAAACTTAGAGCTAGAGCTTTGATCATCCAGATACCCTAATTGGCCACTTTTCCCTGTGCTTCTCCCTCCCCTTCCCACTGGCCATGGACCCACTGCTGTGGTAAAACATCTGTCCAGGAAGGGATGATGGTGACCCATGTGAATGTACTGGTCTCAGGATCAGTCATTCCTCGTGGTTATATGTGGGCTGTGTTGGTATGCATACCATTTAGCACAGCGCCTTACATGGGCTAGGTATTCAAGAAGATATTTATTAAATTTAAGTATTGAAATGTTGATTCCCATCCTCGCTTCTGTCCTTCCTTTTCCAGAATTAAGTCAACTTACCGAAAGCAAACTGGACATGATGGATAAACAGGATTATGTGGACTTGATAGATGTCCCAGACTCCTATCAAGGTCCTCGGCTACAATTTCCTCTCACTTGTGCTGATATTGATTTACTTCTGGAGGCTTTTAAGGGAAAACAGGTAAGTGGAAGCAGATGCTGCCTTGATTTTTGTACATAACAGATACATGGTAACTGTTGAAAGAATGGATGGACATACTACAGCAGAAATGCATTTCTTTGGGAAAACAGTTTACATTAGGTGAGAGCTACCCTCTGTTACCCATTCAATAGAAGTCTCCTCAGGTGCCTGGCAAGCTCCTCTCTGTAGGCTTACAGCATTTCATTTGCCATTTTCTGAGATATCATTCACATACCATAAAATTTACCATTTAACAGTGGACAACTCAGTGATTTTTTCATGCATTCACAAAATTGTGCAACCATCACCAATGTCTAATTTCAGAACATTTTTATCACCCCCAATAGAAAGGCCATTCCTATTATCATTTCCTCCTCCCCACCCCTGGCAACCACTATTCTACTTTCTGTCTCTATGGGTTTGCCTACTCCAGCTTTTTCATCTAAATGAAATCATCTAATCTGTGGCCTTTTGTATTTGGCTTCTTTCACTTAACTTAGTGTTTTAAAAGTTCATTCATGTCATAGCATGTATCATTACTTAATTTCTTTTTCTGGCTGATAATATTCCATTGTATACCACATTTTGTTTATCCATTTATCAGTGAATAGACATTCAGATTGTTTCCACCTTTTGGCTATTATGAATAATGCTGCTATTAATGTTCATGTGCAAATTTTCATGTAAATATGTGTCCTCAGTTCTCTTAGATATATACCTAGGAATATTTCACTGGGTCTATGGTAACTCTATGCTGGATTATGTGGTAACCATATGTTTAAATTTTCCAGTAATTGCTAAACTGCTTCCCACAGTAGTGGTACCATTTTGCATTTCTACCAGCAATGTATGAAGGTTCTAATTTCTTCATGTTTTTGCCATCACTTGTTATTTTGTTTGTATTTTTATTTTTATTATGGCCATCCTAGTGTGTGTGACATGGTATTTCATTGTTGTTTTGATTTGCATTTCCCTAATGACTAATGATGCTGAACATCTTTTAGTGTATTTATTGGCCATTTGTATACCTTCTTTGCAGAAATGTCTGTGCAGATTCTTTGCCCATTTAAAATCAGGCTGTCTTTTTTTTTTTTTTTTTTTTGAGACGGAGCCTCACTCTGTCCCCCAGGCTGGAGTGCAATGGTGCAATCTCGACTCACTGCAACCTCCACCTCCCAGGTTCAAGTGATTCTCCTGCCTCAGCCTCCTGAGTAGCTGGGATTACAGGCACGTGCCACCATGCCCAGCTAATTTTTGTATTTTTGGTAGAGGGGGGTTTCACCATCTTGTCCAGGCTGGTCTCGAACTCCTGACCTCATGATCTACCCACCTCAGCCTCCCAAAGTGCTGGGATTACAGGCATAAGCCACTGAATCTGGCCCAGACTTTTTGTTATTGAATTATAAGAGTTCTTTCTGGATATAAATTCCTTATCAGATACATGATTTGCAAATATTTGCTCCCATTCTGTAGATTGTCCTTTCATTTTCTTATTAATGTACTTTGATGCATAAAAGCATTAAATTTTGATAAAGTCCAGTTTATCCATGTTTTTTCTTGGTTACTTGTGCTTTTGATGTCATATCTAAGAATGCATTGTCAAATCTAAGGTCATGAAGACTTGCCTCATGTTTTCTTCTAAGAGTTTTATAGTTTTAGCTTTTACACTTATGTCTGTGAATAATTTTAAGTTAGTTTCTATATATGGTATGAAGTCAAAATTAATTTTTTGCATATGGATATGCAGTTGTCCCAGCACCATCTGTTGAAGAGACTGTTCTTTCCCCATTGAGTGGTCTTTGCACCTTTGTGAAAAATCAATAGGCCAGGCCAGGTACAGTGGCTCATGCTTGTAATCCCAGTACTTTGGAAGGCCGAGGCGGGCAGATCACCTGAGGTCAGGAGTTTAAGACCAGCCTGGCCAACATAGTAAAACCCCGTCTCTACTAAAAATACAAAAATTAGCCAGGCATGGTAGCTTGCGACTGTAATCCCAGCTACTTGAGAGACTGAGGCTGGAGAATCACTTGAACCCAAAAGGTGGAGGTTGCAGTGAGCCAAGATCATGCCGCTGCACTCTAGCCTGGGCGAGAAAGTAAGACTCTGTCTCAAAAAAGAAAAGGAATCTATAGACCATAGACATAGGGGTTTTTTACTGGACTCTCAGTTCTGTTCTATTGGTCTATGTGTCTATGCCAGTACCACACTGTATTGATTGCTGTAGCTTTGTAACAAGTTTTGAAATAGGGAAGTTTGAGTCCTTCAACTTTGTTCTTTTGTAATGTTGAAGTTGTTCTTCATTATTGTTTGTCTATTTGGGGCCCCTTGCAATGAATTTGAGGATCAAATTTTCCATTTCTGCAAAAAAGCCTGTTGGGAGTTTGATAGGGATTGCATTGAATTGCTATATCACTTTGGGTAATATTGCCATCTTGACAATTTACATATTTCAATCCATGGTGTCTTTCCATTTATTTATATCTTTAATTTTTTTCAGCAACGTTTTGTAGTTTTTAATGGACAAGTCTTTCATTACCTTGGTTAAATTTATTCTTAAACAATTTATTCTTTTGGTTGATATTATAAAAGGAATTATTTTCTTAATTCCTTTTTTGATTGCTTATTATTTGTATGTTGATCTTATACTCTGGAGCCTTGATGAATATACTTGTTAGCTCTAGTAGTTTGTGTGTGTGTGTGTGTGTGTGTGTGTGTGTGTGTTACTCTTTGGAATATTCTATATACCAGATCATGTTATCTGTGAAAATAGTTTTATTTCCTCCTTTCTGATTTGGATGTCTTTTGTTTCTTTTTCTTGCTCAATTGCTCTGGCTAGAAGTTCTACCACAATATTGAATAGCAGTGTGAAAGTAGGCATGTTTATCTTGTTCCTCATCATAGGGGGAAAGCTTTCAGTCTTTCATCACTGATTTTAATGTTAGTTTTAGGTTTTTCATAAAAGTCTTTTATCATGTTGAGGAAACTTCCTTCAATTCTTAGTTTTCTGAGTATTTTTATCATGAAAAGGTGTTGGATGTTGTCAGATGCTTTTTTTTTTTTTTTTTTTTTTTTTTTTTTTTTTTATGAAAAAGTTTTTTTTTTTTTTAGATGGTTTTTTTTTTTTTTTTTTTTTTTTTGCATCAATTGAGATGCAATTGATTCTATTAATGTGGTGTGATATATTGATTAATTTTCTTATATTGAACCAACCGTGCATTTCTGGAATAAATCCCTCTTGGCCATGGTATATAATCCCTTTAAAATGCTGTTGTATTTGGTTTGCTGGAATTATGTTGAGAATTTGTGCATCCATTTCATAAGCGATATTGGTCTGTAATTTTCTTTTCTTGTACTGTAATGTTTTTGCCTGGCTTTGGTATCAGGGTAATACTGATCTCATAGAGTGGGTTAGGAATTGCTTCCTTTTATTCTATTTTTTCGAAGAGTTTCAGAAAGATTGGTGTTAATTCTAATTTAAATGTTTAATGGAGTTCACCACTGAAGCCATTTGGTCTTGGACTTTTCTTTGTTAGGAGGTTTTTGATGACTGATCTAATCTCTTCACTTGTTCTAGATCTCTTAAGATTTTTTATTTCTTCTTGAGTCTGTTTTGGTAATTTGCGAGTTTCTAAGAATTTGTTCATCTCCTCTAAGTTATCTAATTTGTTGGTGTACAATTGTTCATAGTATTCTCTCATAACCCTTTTATATTTCTTTAAGGTTGATGATAATGTCCCCATTTTAGTTTCTGATTTTAGTTATTTTCATTTTCTCTCTTTTTTTTTCCTAGTCAGTCTAGTTTAAAGGTTTATTAATTTTGTTGATCTTTTCAAATAACCAACTTTTGGTTTTGTTGATTTTCTCTTTTGCTTTTCTATTTCTCTCTATTGTTTTTCTATTCTTTATTTCATTTATGTCCACTCTAATTCTTATTTTCTTTGTCAAAATGTTGTTAGTTTATTGATTTGAGATCCTTCTTTTTTAATGCATGCTTTTACAGCTACAAATTTCTCTCTGAACACTGCTTTTGCTGTAATCCCATAAGTTTTGGTATGTTGTGTTTTCATTTTTATTCATCTCAAAGTATTTTCTAATTTCCCTTGTGATCTGTCTTTATTATTTTTTTTACCCATGGGCTTTTTTTAAGAGTATGTTGTGTAATTTCTACATATTTATGAATTTTCCAGTTTTGCTTCTGTTATTGATTTCTAGTTTCATTCCATTGTGGTCAAAGAAGATACTTTGCATGATTTCAGTCTTTTTAAATTTGATGAGGTTTATTTTATGGCCTAACATCTGGTCTATCCTGGAGAATGTTCCATGTGTCCTTGAGAACAATGTATAGTCTGCTTTTGTTAGGTAGAGTGTTTAGTAGATATCTGTTAAGTCTAGTTGTGTGTGGTCTCTGAAATCTCTGTTCCTTTAGCTTGTGTTAAGTTAGTGTTTTGACGGAGATTTCCTTGAACACCAGAAGCGATTTTTTTAAAAAAGAAAAGAAAAAAAAATATTTGCAGATTGGCTATGTGTTGGAGCCGTCCTTCAACTCCTTGGGCCATTTACAAATCTTAGTCTTTACTTCCCGCTTGCACTGAACCATTGTTCAGTTTCCTTTTCCTTCATTCACTGTTTGTTTGGTTACTATAAACTTTGAGTATTTTCCAGAGTTCTGACAAGGGTGATTCTGACAGAGTTTTTTGTCTTTTTTTTTTTTTTGCTTGATATTTCAATGTTTTTGTGGAGGAATGGGACCTTAGAGCTGCCTAAATGACCATTTTCTCTGATATCACCCCAATACTCTCATTCTCAGGTTAGGACCCTAAAGGGCATACCTAGGAGTAAGAGTGAACCGGAAGACTGACTTTTCAAGGATCAAATCATGTAATTCCTGAGACTGAATTGAGATAATCTTAGATAGCTAATGCTCCTAACCACCTGCCAAAAGCAAATTTAAGTCCTCTCTGGAAGACAATAGGCCTGAGATTAATTGTTCAGTTTTTCTT